CCCCCGCGGCCAGCCCCTCCCCCCCGTTGTCCCCATCCCCGCCGCCCCCTCCCCCCTTCCGCTGCACCGAGTGCGCCGGGGCCTTCGGGCTCGTGGCGGAGCTGCACGAGCACTACATGCTGCACGCCAGGGGGGAGCTCTGACACGCCCACCCAGGGGGGGACACGCCCACCCGCCCGCCGGGGGACACGCCCAACTGCCAGGGGACACGCCCGTCTGGGTGGTGCAGACATGCCCACTCGCCCCAGGGACACTCCCACCCGGGAGGGGACAAGCCCACCTGCCAGGGGACACGCCCACCTGGGTGGGGAAACGCCCACCTACCAGGGGACACGCCCACCTGGGTGGGGAAACGCCCACGAGGGTGGGGACACGCCTACTTGCAAGGGGACACACCCACCCGGGTGGGGAGATGCCCACCCGCCAGGAGACCCACCCACCCAGATGTGGACACGCCCACCTGCCAGGGGACACGCCCACGTGGGTGGGGAAATGTCCTCCTGGGAGGGGACACGCCCACTCGCCAAGGGACCCACCCACCCAGGAGGGGACACGCCCACCCCGCCCCCTTTCGCCCCACTCATGGCCCGGGGGGAGGGGAGGGAGAAGAGTCGGGTGATGACGTCACTTGGTGGGTGACGTCATTGGGGAGGTATGTGATGTCATTGGCGGCGCGTTGTGACGTCATCGGAAAGGTTTCGAAGTCGCCGCGAGGGGGTGTGACGTCACTACGCGGGTTGTGATGTCATCAATGATGTCACCGAGGAGGCGGGACCGTGGTGTCGTGGGGCACGGGGGGGGAGGGGAAGGGGGGCGTGGTGTGTGTGGCTGTGAAGGATGTGATGTCATCAACAGGATGTGATGTCATAACACGAGGGGCGTGGTGTCGTCGATGTTGCGACGACGTCATTGGCCAGAGGGGAGTGACGTCATCAGGGTCCTCTCCCCCGGTAGCCATTGGGGTCACGGGGGGGGTGTGGGTGTGACGTCATCCAGAGGAGTGACGTCGCAGCAGAGCTTGTGACGTCACCCTCAGGCTCCGCCCCCACCCCATGACCCATCCCCCCCCAAAATGACGTCATCAACACGCCCCGCCCCATTAAATCCAACCAATCAGCAGCCGCCACCAGCAAGTGGCGCCAGAGCGAGAGGAGCCACGCCCCCTTCCAAAACAGGCCACGCCCCATTTATTGACCACACCCCCCCTTTAAATAAGCCACGCCCCCCCCCCCTGCAGGCCCCTCCCCTCAGAGCTCCCCGCGGGCGTGGCGGATGTAGTGCCGGTGCAGCGCCCCCTCCCTGGCGAAGGCGCGGCCGCACTCGGTGCACGCCAGGCCGGGCGGGGGCGTGTCCCCCCGGGGGGCGTGTCCCTTGGGCGTGTCCCGGTGATGGGGGGCGTGTCCCCTGGGCGTGTCCCGGCGGGCGTGGCCGCGCTGGTGGTGCAGCAGGGCGGGGGAGGAGCCGAAGGGGCGGGCGCAGACGAAGCAGACGAAGAGGGCCCCGCGCAGCGCCGCCGCCGCGAAGTCCCGCGGGTGCTGCCGCTTGGCGTGGCGGGCGGCGAAGGCGGCGTCGGGGAACGTGATCAGGCACTGCCCGCAGTGACGGGAGCCCACTCGGTCTGGGGGGGGACACAGGGGGGTCACACAGGGACAGGGGTCACACCCAGGGGTCACACAGGGACAGGGGTCACACCCAGGGGTCACTAAGGGACAGGGGTCACACCCAGGGGTCACACAGGGACAGGGGGGTCACACAGGGGTCACTCAGGGACAGGGG